GTCAGAACCCACATGGAGGTGTAAAGTAAGAAATATTTAAAACATTTAAATTAAATTTAAAAATTTAATTAAAATTAAATTAAAATTTAAAAATTTAAAAAATAAATGTATCTACAGCCCTCAGGTATGGGTGGGTAAAAAATTGACTAGAGTTTGATGGCATCGCCAAAAAAGAATTTAAATTCCACAGCATAACATGCCAAAACACACTATCTTTGATATTGTCCCTGAAGAACTGTGGTGGTTATGTAACTAGAGCTGCAGCTAACGATTATTTTCAAAATCGATTAGTTAGCCGATTATTAAATTCGATTAATCGGTTAATCGGATAAACAATAAAATACATTTTAAAAAATGGCTCCAGTGATGGACTACTAGTTTGTATTGAGATTGTCGTCCATCACAGGAGCAAGCTTGGAGCGGTGGAAGTAAAAAAGAAAAAAAAATAGTGTGGTGTGCAATATAGTGAAATGGAAAGTGTAAAATTATACAGCAATGAATGGCATCGGCTATAGAGGACTACAAATCCCAGCAATAGTACATTATACAGCGCAATGCAGAATATCACCAGCTATAGAGGAATACAACAAATCCCAGCAATAGTACATTATAGCTGGTGGTATTCCGCATTGCGCTGTGTAATGCATTATTGCTGGGATTTGTAGTCCTCTATACAGCGCAGTGCAGAATATCACCAGCTATTTAGGAATACAACAAATGCCAGCAATACATTATACATACAGTGTACAATGTATTGCTGGGATGTGTATTCCCATGTATAATATAGAGCACAATGTACCATCAGCTATCGAGGAATACAAATCCCACTATCCCAGCAATACATTATAGAGCACCATGTGGGGGAAAGTGCAGGCTTACCTGAGCAGTCTTCCAGCAACTTGCTTCTGAGATCGGACCTGTCTATTGGCGGCTGTCATCCCCCACACCTGCTCCTCCTTACTACATCTCCCCGCGTCCCTGTGCCGATCGTGGATGTGGGCGGGCGGTGAGTGTGAGGCGGGGAGGAGGTGCGGCGTGAAGAGCGTGGATGCGGGCGGGTCTGGCAGCGGCGAGCGTGAGGTGGGGAGGAGGTGCGGCGCGCAGCGTGTGTGGAGCCGTGAACAGGGCCAACTGATCGGAAGCCGATTAATCGATTATTGAAAACGTTGACAACTTTTTCAATAATCGATTATAATCGATTATGTCGATTAGTTGTTGCAGCCCTATATGTAACACCACATACAGCTTTAAGGCATCCCTCAAACTTGTCATTTTAAAAGATTTGCCTATTTCCAATGTCATACTCAAAGCTGTATGAAAAAGCCCTGCAGCCCCTTTCCCACTATACAATTTTTTTAATGTTTTTTTCATTAGTAAAGGTCCCTCATGGCTAGGATGGGGGAGAGAGGGCTACAAATGGCCATTAATTAAGGTCCCTCACTGAATGAATTTGAGGTATTTTTTTTTTCCAATTCATAAAAATGGGTTCAAAATGAATATTGACATATTAGCTCATCACTAGAAGTAATATATATAATCATCAGGTAGTGCGAAGATCAGTATCTCATTAAGGGTCCCCTATGAATATTTAGCCATCGCTCTATGAGTAACTAATAATTATATCGTGGCACATAAAAAGACCAAGGAGAGGGAGTGTGGATAGAATTTTCTGGTTCCCGTGACTCCATACCTACTTGTCTAAGTAGCAGGCAGCACTACCCTAAGCCCTTTGCTTGTTGCAAGGATCCTGGCCAGATCCTTAGACGTCTGTCCTCTTTATGTACTTCCTTTCCTTCCTTGCCCTGATTTCTCTTCTTCTCCTCCTCACTATATCTCTTCTCCTTCTTTGTCTGCTCCCCGGGGAGGCATGGTAGTGGGCCCATGTGGTCATCTAAGGATTTTCCATATAATTGAGTGTCTGGCAGGGGTTATCAGTTGTGCTACTACCGTTTTTCCCTGAAAATAAGACACTGTCTTATATTTTTTTTGTCTCAAAAAAAGACACTAGGTCTTATTTTCGGGGTAGGTCTTATTTTTGTTTATTTTTTTAAATGTACAACAATCCAAAGTTAACGCAAATCCAAATTAAATAATCCAAAATGGCAAAGTTAAGAATAGGGTGATCAGGGCAATCAGGGGTGCCGTACCTTTCCAAGAGCAATTTGGTAACCAGTCGCTGGCCAGAATGAGCGAAGCTCGCTTTCAGTATAGATTCCTCACAGGCGGAGTGCATTTGGTATCACTCCGCCTGTGACAGGAGCCGGCGCTAAAGAGGAAGCATCACCTTATGCGGCTCTGCTCCCTCCGCTGCCGCCTCGCTTCCTCTAGCGCTGGCTTTGTTGGCACCGCTGATTCTCTCCCGCGGCTCTTCAAGTTCCCTCTTATGCCACCACCGGCCCTGGGAATGGTCACAACTAGGTCTTATTTTCGGGGTAGGTCTTATATTTTAGCAATTCCCAAAAATAGTACTAGGTCTTTTTTCCGGGGAAACAGGTTGCTGTGACGCAATAATGCCTCTTGTATCCAGGCCTCTGTATAATGGGCTTGCATATAACATCTGTTCAGTATCATACACGTAATGTGACATAAGATCTTCAGCACTAAAAGAAACCACTCGACCCACAGTAATATGACTGACCACTTCCCCAGGGATGGCAGCCCTCCACAAGGAGTACAGGACCTCCTTCACAGACAATGCCAAAAACAAAAGAGAACAAGAGGAGCCTTTCCCTCGTGTGATATTGTACAATAAAGGAACTTTTCTTGTATAAAAACATCCATACACTCACCTAATACTTAAAATCAAACGCATCCATAGAACACATCAGTAAACTTTCCCAACATGATAGCCCAAAGGAAACACTGATAGAGAACCAGTTCACATACAGTAGCTGCTCAGACTTGCAGACTGGTTTGGCTAAACGCGTTTTCGGGGACACGCCCCCTTCTTCTTCTTTTGTTTTTCACAATTCCTATATGTGTTTTATGGTGTTTGGTTCCTGATCCAGGCCCCTTGGTGTTCTGCAGTGGTTTTGTTGCCTTCTTTTACTATTTTTGACAATTCCTTTATGTGTTTTATGGGTGATTCGTTCCTGATCCAGGCCCCATGGGTTCTACTGTGGTTTTGTTGCCTTCTTTTACTGTACTTTTTTTGTGTTTATTTATACTTAATTGTTGGTCACTGTGTATTATTTGTTTTTTAAATCTAATAAATATTCTTTAAAAAAAAGACCAAGGAGACGTAGAGTCAATTCTCTAACAGTTCAAAGTCAATAAGATCTATGTTTTCAGTAAAGTTTTATCAGAACAATGCAGGAATGGAATAAAAGGGCAACAAGATCCAAACAAATTTTCCTTCAGACACTTTGACAAATAATGACTGAAGCTACAGCTGAGTTGCAGACTCCAGATTTGTTACAATGGAGAATGCTGGATGGGCTGATCTACGACTGCATGAGCCTTTTGCTGTGCAGCTACTCACCGTGCTGAGGGCTTGAAATGAACAGAAGAAGATTAAATACCACAGGACTCTTGCAGTCACGAATGACGGAACAAACCACAAGAAGAAATAGGACGGGACCAGAAACGGCATACTTCCCAGCATCCTGAAACACAGATCCTAGCTTATTAAAGTGAAAATCCAAAAATATACAAATCAAAACTACTTATAGTGACCCAAAGTCCAAACAGTTTTAATTATCCCACTCAGTTTGGAGTCTACGGTGTACGCAATTCAATAACTGACAAGAAGAAGAGGGAAAATGTATTTAAACACTTGCTGACCAGGTGTTTACACCCCCTTCCTGGCCAGGCCATTTTTCAGTATTCAGCGCTGCAGTACTTTGATTGACGTTTATTCCGTCATGCAACGATGTACTGAAATGAATTTTATATAATTTTTTGGGGGACAGATAGAGCTTTCTTTTGTTCGTATTTAATCACCACTGGGGGTTTTATTTTTTACTATAAGAAAAAAAAGTACCGAATATTTAAAAAAAAAATGTTTTCCTTTTATTATTTTAGGGAACATTTATTTTTACCCAATTTTTTGGTAAAATATAAAAGTCGGAGTCCTATCTGTAAATAGACACAAAACATGTCCATTCCTAAAATTGCGCGCTCACGCGAAATCGCAAAAAACGACCATAGCCAAAATTGGCCATAGGCGACGCTTTAAAAGATTTTACCGCTCATCAGTTTAGTGTTATCAGTGATTGATGGCCCGATAATTATTGCTCTCACTCTGACGTTCGCGGCGATATGTAACATGTGTGGCATAATTGGAGCAATCGTCGTTTTTGCGTGTAGGTCCACCTAACGCATTTTTGCGCATCTATGCGGGGGAGGGGGACTTTAAAACATTTTGTGGTATTTGTTTGTGTTTGTGTGTAAATTTTATTTATTTTGTGAGCAATTATTTTTTTTTTACACTTAACTTTATTGTTATCACATAGGGTGCTAAGAAGTACCCTATGTGATAACAAATTACAGTGTCAGGTCCCCTTTATGGAGACATCAGCGGTCTCTAAGAGCCCTAATGTCACCTAAGGACCCCCAGAGAAGCTGATGAAGCACAGATGTGCTTCATCGCTTCCTGCATTCAGAGATCGGGAGGAGAGCGGAGGGAGATTGTGTACCCACTCCCTCCGTTCTCAGTGCACAGAGCCACATCGCCCGGGATGGATGGACGCCTGAGATCGCGGGGACGGTGGCTGCGGGGACAGCAATGGCGAGAAGAGGTAAGGGGGGCGCACCCTGACTTGCATCATACAAGCGATCGGGCGTCTTTATAGACGCTGGCTGTTTAAAATCCTGGTGGTTTACCGCTCGTGCGCGGCTGGGGGCGCACGCGATCAGGCGCGGGCACGAAGGACGTCTAAGGACGCCCAACCGCATCCAGGAGACTCCCATTTGGCCGTCTTTCAACGTTCGGCGGACGGGAGGTGGTTAATGGACTCAACAAACTTCTTTCAAAGATAAACCTATACGTCTAAAAGAAAAATATATGCAACCACCAGGTACAGTATATCACAAAATTGTGTTCACATTTAGATGGAAATGTTTATTACAACCCAGGGTTCCTCCAGTAGCTGCTAAGGGTTCGTTTGCCAATTTATGCCTCTCAGATAAGCCACTAGACATGTGCGATTCAATTCGTTCCGAATAAAAATTCAGTTGAATTTTCAGAAATTTGGGCACATCCGAATTTCCGAATCCCAAAGCATCCGAATGTGTCCGAATCAGAATTTTCGTTTCCGAATTTCGGATCCCGTCCGAATTTCGTTCAAAAATGAAACTGAACCGCACATGTGACTTTTCTGGCCAATCAGATGTGTTTTTCAGTTTAATGCATCCAAATGGGCCTGAACACGAATTTTCATTACGGCAACATTGGAGCCATATATACTGTATACATATAATACGAACGTTGAGGCTCCCAGACCCGAAAGGCATTCAGGATCTGAATTTCCAAATTGTATTCGGAAAGCTCCCGAAGGTCTGGAAGCCTCAGCTTTAATATGGCTCTCCGACCCGTAATGCTTTCTGGAGCTCCCGAATGGTATTAGCAAAGTTCAGACTCCCGAATGCCATTCGGGTTTAGGAGCTTCAGCTTTAGTATTAATATCTGTATATGGTTTACTGTGGTATCCGCAACAAATATTCATAAACTCATCCGAAAATAACGAAAATTCGGATTTCGTCTGAAACCCAAACCAAATTGAATTTGGGATCCAAGTCCCGAATTCCGAAATAACAAAATATCCGAATTTTTCCGCAGCTTACATGTCTATAAGCCACCACTGACAGCAATTATCTTTTTACCTATCTGTATGGGAGGAATTATTTCCACTCACCACCAGTCCAAGCTCTGCTGTAGAGTGCGTTGCAGGGGGCTGGTACCAAGTCAAATTCAGGAATTTGTACACTTTGCATGTAAAAACCAAATTTATTAAAGTAGAACTTAAGTGTTCTCTAAACATATTGCTAAGAGATGGAGTTTCTTTATTATGAGAATAGACTTGGCTTGTCTCTTCTGCTAAAAAAAAAACCTTTCCTGTGTTACCTAGTAATCTTCTAGTGAAGCATGCTCAGAGCCGTGCACACCCCGGCTCATGATGAATGATGTCTGCATGAATTATGTCATCAGTGGTTGCCCAGGTGGTAAAGAGGACTGGTGGGAAACAGCTGAGAAGAAGGCAGCACTAATAGATGGATCGATAAGGGACTTCGAGTGACAGCCTTGGTCATGCAAGAGGGCAAATAGGCAGGTAAATCTAAGTACTGGAACACTATGGCACCAGCAGCGGAACTACATTGTGCTTTTATGAATAAAGAAATACATTAAGTTGTGCTTTTTTGCCTGGAGTTCAGCTTTAACTTACTGCCCCAGTGAAAGTCTAATTCTTCCTTGCAGTACCAAAAACACAAAAAAAGCTTTGGCTGAAGATGAACTTTTGACAATATTATAAATTCTCCCCAAAATTCTGACTGTTTTGTAATGGATGAACTGAAAAAACGAAGGACAAAGGAACAATGCAGGTCAACAGTTCGGTGAAACAATGAGGAACCTTTGAGTGAGGTTCTGTGATGCTCTGTGGCATAATGGAGCTGTGCTGTGAGGAGGGTGTTTACATTGCCTGAATGTGCAGCGATAATGAAAACAGCCCGTTCTAGCAGGGTCTGTCTAAGCTCGGTGCTCTGACCTCCCTGGCTGCCAGCAAGGATATTACATACGACGTATTCACCAAGGTAGGCAAAGATGATAGTGATGTGCAAAGACCAATAACCCATATTCACTGCTCAGAAAGCATTCCTTTTGTCCCTCTGTTTGGCCAATGTATGGATCTCTACTGGAGATATGGCAGTGGTGTGTTCTTTCCCTACTTTGTGCTATAATGTGTCCCTCTTTTCAAGCTTGCAAAGTTGGGAGGTATGCATCCTTATTTCCTGAAAGGTCCAGGATTTAATCATGTGGAAATGTAAGCCAAGTAGATCCCAGGACCTCCTGCTGCCATTCCCAGAAAGAGAGGTTAAAGAGGAACTTCACCCTACCTACCTAAAAATAAACTCTATCTCTCTAATAACTGTACCTGTAGGATAATATTAAAAAAAACATATTTTCTAGTCCATGGAGTCCAGCGTTGTCTTCCATGAAGTCCAGCGTTGTCTTCCATGAAGTCCAGCGTTGTCTTCCATGAAGTCCAATATTGTCTTCCATGGAGTCCAGTGTTGTCTTCCATGAAGCCCAGTATTGTCTTCCATGAAGTCCAGCGTTGTCTTCCATGAAGTCCAGCGTTGTCTTCCATGAAGTCCAATATTGTCTTCCATGGAGTCCAGTATTGTCTTCCATGAAGTCCAGCATTGTCTTCCATGCAGCCAAAGTTCTCTTTACAGCACTTTCCAGCCACACCCCCATCTTGAGACCTCTTCTTGTGGGAGAATCCCTTCTTCCTGATTGGGATATCCCACGCATGCCACAGGCCTTTGTCAAGTATTTGTGACCTGGCAGAGCCCTGTAGCATGCCAGCATGTGCATATGATTCCCAAGTATGTGTGGACATGCTGTGGGGTCCAGTAGGTTCCAAGTACTTGCCATAGAGGCCTGTGGTGTGTCTGTGCATTACAGTGATATGTTTATCCCTTGCTGAAACCTTGCATCCTGGAATGTGTGATGTGGAGATTTCATCTTCACCTAGGGGACCAATCCGGAATCAAGGACTGCTAAAGTGTTAATGGGTATTTCCCAATGTAAAAAAAAATTAGTTCCTTTAAAAAAAAATTTAAAAAAATGATATGCAATTGTGTAAGTACCTCCCAGAAGCCACTCCCAGAACTCTGAATAAAAGGAAAGTAAAGTTAATTTTTACCAAACAAATATTTGACGCAGTACTAAGGTAAGATTTTCTGGCACCAATGGCAAAGGTGCCCAAGTGCGCCCATCCTGAGCTGGGATGGCTATAGCTTCCATGTCTGAACATACAGTGTCTGAGCTACAAGGGGGCCAGAAATAACAGGCCTAGGATTATCACTTTTGGGTTTATGAAAAACTGAACAGGATGGGGAGCTGTTGTGACCTGGGCTACGTGCTTAGGAGAACTCATTGTGAACCAAGCAGCCCACACACATCCCTACCTGTGATACAGTAATAATAAGTCAAATCAATAATTACTGACAGTATACTATATTCTCCATTTATTTCTACACTTTTTTGCACTAAACTAACATCTGATTGGTCGGTGAGGGCTACTGTACATTCCTCAGCATTGCCTTAAAGTGTATGTAAACCCTAAAAATGCACTTTTCTTATTTGCTCCCTTTTTGTCTGTATAAAATCTCTTCAATAAGTACAAACAAATGCCAGTTGATCCTGCCAGAAATCTGGTGCTGTCCTGTCCATTCTGCGGCATAATCTCAAACAATGTTTCGGGACGTGTGAAGACAAAGTTATATGTGGACACTGCTGAATAAATCTGCCAGCTGCCTCTCTTCATATTATGTTTTATCAATTGCTGATTGTTGATTTTGGCTCACGTTCATTTCGATTTCGTTATTCACCATTTTAACTTTCATAGGTACCATTAAATTGTCTCTGATCGTCTACAGATGAGTAGCAAAAATGCTTATACAGGCTGATCAATGTTTGAAGGCAAAGTTCATCTCTTACCATGGCATCAATCGGCCAATTCTTGTCCATTTGCTTTTATTAATTAAGAATCCAGTGAGGGGGTCTGTGATTCCACCCCAGGTTTTCCCAATGCACAGCACCAGGGAGGCTTCAAACGGCGTGATCTAGAAAACACAAGTCACTGGTCATTGCAAAAAGAAAAGTAACCAATTGTAGTGTATTTCCTAACTCATTGAGTGACTACAGTGAACTGAGTGCAGACTTAACTGCTCTGCCACCATTCTAAACCAAGGAAGACACCAACATGGCCACTGACCACAAATGTAAAATTGAGCTTATAGGAGCCTTTCCACTGAGTGTCCACCAACAGGGTTTTTTTTTTATTCAGGGATCTTTCCACTAACAACTAGATTAAAATAAACTTTTATTAGGGGGAGATTTCCACTGCATACTAATTGGAAAGGGGTAAAATTAGAGGTGATACCAGCAACAGCCAGTAAGGAGTATAAACACAAGTGCCATCCACCCTGCCACCATACTAGACTAAGGGACACACCAACATAACCATTGGCCACAAGCATAAAACAGAGCTTGAATCATTGTAAAGAGGGTTTTTATTAGGGGGGTCAATCCACTGACCAACTGATTTAAAGAGGCTTTCATGAGTGGGCATCTCCATTGACTTCTCATTTGAAAGGGGTAAAATTATATACCAGCACCGACCAGTAAGGAGTATAAACACAGGCACTTTATGAGCTGCTCTCCACCCTGCCCCAATGCTAGACTAAGGAACACACCAACATGGCCATTGGCCACAAGCGTAAAACAGGGCTTGAAGGGGCCTTTCCACTGGCTGCCCAACCATAGTGAAGTGTCTGATCATTAGGCTTTAAAAAAACAGCACTACGGAGAAGCTACCACATGGGAAGGAATGCTAACAGAGCAGACATCAGACATTGACTGGAGGGGCTTCAATGTAACATTAATGGAAGAAGAAATAGCAGAAAATGGTATATGTAGGAGTGGCATAAAAGTCATTTTGGGGAGCCACTTCAACTTAATCCCCCCTCCCCCCCCAATGATATCAGTTATGGATGCTGAGCAGCTCGACCATATAAACATTTTATGGGGTTTATGCCAATTTCTGTGCTCAATCCTATTCTAAGGAAGTTTTGAGACTGGTGCGACCTCCAAAGGTGTTTACAACGCCGACTATAAAAACTAATGAGATACATAAAACCCATTGGTTTCCTCCCGCAGTAAACGCGTGTTGCACTTCCGCTAATAGAACCGGATTTCTTGTGTCTTATCAATATCATCTATTATCAGCCTGCTGCCTCCTTTTTATTTGTGTGCATGGCTTGTGTGAACACCAATAAATAAAGAAAACCCACACACATTTTTGTCATGCTTGCAGAAGCAAAGCATCAATGGCCACATAGCACAGACACAATCAGGTGAGCAAACAAACCATCAGAGTAGACACTTGTATAAAGCTGACTCAATAGTCAGCATTAAATGTTTTGTATTGAAGCTGACCAAAGGTACACCACATACCTGGCATTCATTCATTCATTCATTGCAGCTGGCTGCCCAACCAACTACATTCCTGTGGCTGCTGATTCAATTTTGTGAACGTCCCTAAAGCCGGCCATACACTGTTAGAAATTCGGCTGATCCAACTCGAAAAACTTCTATTAAAGAACAGAAGGAGCCGGGTGGAAAATTGTCAGTGACCGCAGTTGCAATCACTGTTTGGTATTGTGACAGCCACTGTCAGGATACAATAGCCGGCAGGTGGATATTCCTCCATCCACGTTGTTTGGAATGGATTTCTCGTTTCTTTCTCATACTTTTGGCTGAACAAAAGATATCTAAGAGTGTCTAATAGTGCGGGTGTGAGTACTCTCCCAAATACTTGGTATCTGCACCGATACCTATACTAGTATCAGTATCGATGCATCCCTAGTATTTACCTAAAGCAAGTATAAGCAAATGAATCCTATCCTTATATCAGCTCCCTGTAATGTGCTGTACAGCTGACAGGGAGAGGGAAAGTCAGCACTGTGGAAAGCAGAGGGGTGACATCATCAATGTGCTGCTTCTCCTTTATTGTCCAATCAACAGGCTGGGGAGACGGGTCTATGACCAAGCTGCAATGCTTAAAGCAGAAGTATTGGGAGAGTAGAATAAAGCTGTCACACATTGTCTCTATAGATTGAGAGCTGAGTGATCACAAACTGCTGATCACTCAGCTCACAGTCTCCACCCTGCAGTGACTGTCGGTTAACACTCCCTGCAGGGATTCCCCCTCCCCTCTCTGTTCTTCCAGTGCTCATTAGCGGAACAGAATGTGGAGGGGGCGGGCACAGGATCTAGAGAGGCAGAGCCAGCTATCAATCAGGCAGCGGGGTGGATCCTGACAATATTGTCTGGATCTTTCCCGGCTGCAGTGCGGCTCTGCTTGGTCACCATATGGTGGACAGTAGCCACCTAGATGCTGACTTTGGGTCACAGAAGGACATTAGTAAATATACTTCTATAGACAAAAATAAATAAATGTTTGGCTTTAGTTCTCTTTTCCTTTTGGCTAAGATCAAGTGTAGTATCTGTTCTTATCAGTTCCAGAGGGGAACAGCATGGACTGTCCTTGGGACGGACAGTTGCTTAGTACCTTCCGGAGTAAAGGTAGGTGCTTATGGCGACTCCTTGTTGAAGCAGGGGGAGTTTCCTCGGCACTATTGCCTACTGACTGAACGGATGCGAAGCTTGGTCGAGGCTCGAGGGTTCGGGGGGCGGCAGAAGCCCGTGGTGTTGTGCCCCCTGGGGGTGGCATCCCAGGGGTGCTCAGGAAGTCACTTGGGTGTGGGACCCCACATTGACTCACTGATCACTTGGTCACACACCACATTGCAATTTTCTGCACTTCGTCTCCAAGACAGGCCTTATGGCTAGTCTGGGGCAATATTTTTGCACTCCGGCCCCTAAGGCCTGTCAGAGTGGTGCACTGGCACTTTAGATTATTTAAGCACTATATGCACGATTGGCACTTTTTTATTTTAAATTTTGACCCACAGATGCTGATGGTGCAGGTTTCTTCGGGGCCTATTCCTGAAGCTGGGAGGAGATTCTGTGCCTCTTATGGGGTTCTCTGTCTCCTCCCACCCAGGAGGAGGGTTTATCTTCGGGAGATCCCTCCTGCCTAGTACTGTGAGGGACCTTATTTCGAAGGACCTTGCACCCTTGTGCACGTTTTTGTGTGCTGTGCTTTCACGGTTAACTTTTTTTGTTCACAGGGGGAAGTTTTGATGCACGTCCACGGGCTTCGATTTAAAAAAAAATGTAGTTCTCTTTTTAACTGCCCTGGAAGTCAGAGAGCTGCCAGTTCTGTCTGACATGTATATGTGGATCACATGACATGCTGAACAAAATCACAAACCTTTTGACAAGGTAAACTGCTCCTATACTGTA